AAATTTCTTAAATATGGGGTCCGTTGAAATTATTATTTAAAATATATTTTTTTCATTATTTTCCTTTTAAATTTTGATAATTTTTAAAGAAAAAAATATTGGTAGAAGCATTGATGTCAAATCCATTTTTTTTTCTTTTTGGGTCTTTTCTTTTTTTTTTATTTTAAAAATTCAGAATATAGACTTTTCAAAAAAAAAAAAACTTGTCATTATAGATGTCATGTGGCAACCCAACTTTTTTTTATTTTATCATTTTCATTTTTCTTCCCTCTTGAAGTTTTTTTTTTCCTTTTTTTATTTTTTTAAAAATTAGATAATTTTATAAAAATGCAAATGAATGTGTACACATGATACCTTATTTCATTTATTTCCTTATACTTTTCTTATTTTTCAATTAGATAATTATTGTACCAAAAGAAACTGGTAAATAAATTTTTGAAGAAAAATGCCAATAAAAATATATATGAGAAAATAATCCATATCTAATGCATTTTGATTCTTTTGGATCTAATAGGAGTGTTCTTTTTAATTTGAGTTCGAATCGATTTTTTTTCAAAAATCGAGGTTAACGTATGAGTTTAAAGTGTTTTGTCTCATCTAGGTATATATAAATATATGTTTTATTATTCATTTAATTTCATATTTATATATTATATTAATAAAATCATTATTTGATACATTAATTAATTAAATTCATGTGACATCCACATTTCTCTTCATTTTCTTTTCTTTTTTTCTTGTCATTTACTTTGTTTTAAATTTTTTTTTTTACTTTTTAAAATTAGATAAATTTTGTAAGAAAAATATCAATAGATGTAGAGATGGCAAAATAACTTATATACAATAGTTTTCTTTTTTTTTTTTCGAAATAATATGTATCAATTTTTTAAAATTCAAGATAGGTTGAGATTTTTTCTTTTAAAAAATTGTAGTAGAGTTAAAGACAGGTTTAGGATTTTGTGTCTTGTCTCCAGTATATATATAATATTATATTTTTAATTATTTATTCAATTCAATATTTATATTTTTATATTAATAAAAGTACTTTATTTATATATAATTAAAATATAATACATCAATTATAAACATTTTACTAATTCTAAATTTTGTTTGACTTTCATTTAAGATGTCGACGTGACACCTTATGTTTCTTTTTTTTAAAATTTTTTAGTTTTTTTTTTAATTTCTAAAAATTAAAATAAATTTGTTAAAAAACCTAATGAAATTATTCACGTGACATCCTAATTTTTTTTAATTACATAAATTTTGAAAAAAAAGAGTCGATGAATAAAGATGGTAAAATAATTCATATCTAATAGATTTTGATTTGACTTGATTCGATAAGTTGTTTCTTTTTTTTTTTCATTTATTTTTTATTAGATAAATTTTACAAAAAAATAATGTTAATGGAGGTGTCCACATAACACCCGATTTCTTTATTTTCTTTCATATTCTTTTTCTTTTTTTTTTTGTATTTTTTAAATTAGATTAATTTTAGAACAAAATGAGCCAATTTATAAATATAACAAAACAATTAGTATCCGATAACTTTCTATTCGTCTCAATTTGATATATATATTTTTATCAAAAAATCGTTATTGAGTCAAGTAATGTTGATTTTTTTATAGAAAGCACAGATAAGTCAAAAGCAGGCTTAAGTGCTTTGCCACAAGGCACCCGTGATATATATAAAAAGTATATATTTTATTATGTATTTAATTTTATATTTATATATATGTATTTTATATCTTAATTTAATATATTAACCTTTTAAATTCAATTTTAATATTGACCTGACACATCAATGATCTCTTTTTTTTTTAATTTTTTTTGTAATTTTTTTCTTTTTTCATTTTTTAAATTAATAAAGTTATTATCTAACACCGGATGACTAATTTCTATAAATACACATGCTTACCAAGTAATAGTAGTATCATCCCACGAGGATTAAGTTGTCTCTAGGTTTAGTTACCAAATTCAACACCTCAACTTTATTTAGCTTGATGATTTAAAGAGAGTGATCTAACACCAAACTTAAGGTAAGGAATACATTGCAAGTAAATGCAAGTAAAGTAAACTAATCTAAGGCAAGAAACTAAGCAAACAATTAAAGAACTAAACTGAAGTAAACAAAACTAAACTAAGAATGCATATAATGGACAACAAAGGAAAATGAAGATGACCATAAAATTAATAGAGCATTCGGACATGATTAAGCTAAAAATAAAATTTGAATAAAAGCAAGGCAAGAAAACTGAAGCTTAAATTGAATGCAACAAATATATAATGGCCTAATTTCTAAATGCATCAATGAAATAATATGTAAATGATCTAGACCTGATTACCAATGAAAACTGAAACAAGGAAAATAAGCAAAACCGAATGGAACATGTATTAACCGAAAGTAAATCTAAAACAGAATTTAAATTTTCAACAAAAGAAATCATAAATCAAGTGCATGAAAAATGAAATTGAGCTAAAGGAAACTTAAGAACATGAAATATAGAATGCAAATTGCAAGATCATAAAAGAAATTCAGCTGAAAAACTAAGATAACAAGCTCAATAAACTAAACAAAACCGAAAACACTAAACAAAGAAAACAGAACCAAACAACACTTAAACTCAAAAATCACAGAGAAATTGCATGAAATGTAGAGAAAGCAATTGAATATCTACCTCTAAACTGAAGATTGAAGAGCAAACAAAAGAGAAAATGGATCAAAATTCAACCGAACTAGCGGGATCTACAACCAAACTGCAGCTGATCACCACTTCTGACCAGCAGAGGAATCGCAACTTCTAAACTCATAGTGCTCTCAATGTAAATTGAATTTGAACTCAAAATTTTAAGGAAATCTAGATCTAAGAGCCAAGAAAAAATGAGTAAAACCTCAAAATTTTTGTACGAAGAAATTATAAGGAAAATGTAAAAATTGCTGGTACTTGAGAACAAGAAATCAAAAACAGCATTTGAACTTGAATGAAAATCGCATTGGGTTGAAGTAAAGAATAAGATTAAAATGTAAAGAACAATTAAAGAACTGAAAATGAACTTGAAATGTAAGTAAGCAAAGGGAAAATGTGCAAGAAAATTAAAAAAAAAAAAATCTCATCCAAGCAGCCTCTTCTCTTCATGTCATGCTTAATGTAAGACTGGGCTACTAAATCTTCTAGCATAATGTTTAGCCATTGAGATCAAAACACCTCCGAAATGCATCAAATTGCTTCTAAATCTTCTAAATTCATTTCTTTTCCTCCAAAATGATAAAATTTCCTAAACATGAGAATTCTTATTAATTAGAAGTATATTTTCATCATTTTCTTGAGAATTAAGTAAAAATTCACCATCAAATGCACCAAAATTATAAAACTATCAATACTTTAATTTAAACAATAATATTTTAAACTCAGTTAGAATATCCACATAATACCTTAATAAACTCATTTTTTCTTTTTCCTTTTTTAAATTTTGTTTTCTAATTTGTCCTTGTTTAATGCCTATTCTTTTAAACTAATTTTGTTAAAAAATGAAGTCAATGAAGATATTCATATAACACTTCCGTTTGACTTTTTTCTCTTTTAATTTTTTGTACTTTTAATTAAAAATTTTTGTAACAAAAGATGTTGATTGATGAAGATGTCAAAACAATATGAATTTGATGATTCATTCCAATTCAATAGGGGATGATTTTTTTAAACTGAGATCGAGTTAAAAAGGATTGAGTTTTTTATAAGATACGAAATTGAGGTGAAAACATGTTTAGAGTGTTTTGCCTTGACTTATTTAAGCTATATATAGTATTTATTTTATTTTTAATTTAATTATATATATGTATTATATTAATAAAGTTATTATTTGATACTTTAATTTAATATATTAATATTTTTAACTTAATAGGGATCTCCATAGAAAACCTTTTGAGTTTCTTTTTCTCCCTTTTTCTTTTTAAAATTTTTGTGTAAGATTATTTTGTGGTAATAAGTCAATTTAGATATCAATGTCTTACTCTATTTGAGTTTTTTTACATTTTATTTTTTTAATTAAATAAATTTTACAAAAAAAAAACCTAATAAATAAAAATGACAAAACAAATAATATTGACCTATAACAATGTATAGCAATGTGTAAGTATTCACTTAGTTTAAATAAATAAATATATATGTATATATATATATATATATATAAGGTTAAAAAAATTCAAAAGTCAGTTTAAAATTATAAAGTTCAATTCAATTTAATTTTTCTCTCATTTGATTCGGTTTCAATCTAAATATTAAATATTTCAATTCCATTTAAATTAGTTTTTGAATCATGAAATACAAAAAATTTTAGAAAATATCCAAATTGAAACAAATTATATTTTTATTATTTTTTATATATATTTAATTTTTTAAATATAAATAATTATTTTATATTTAATTTTATTTAAATATATTTAAAATATTATGAAAATAATAAAAAATTTAAAAATAAATAATTTTTAAAAAATCAATAAATTGAACCAACTTATTTGAATTCGAATTAATTTTTAAAAATTTATAATACGATGTATTGAATTGAATTTGATGCATTATCAACCCTAATTAAAGGTTGTTGTCTTAATATATAAATAATATATATATATATATATATATATATTAAGACAACAATATTTTTGCTACATTACTTTCTAAAAGGGTGGATGCCCCTAGACAGGGTCAAAAAAATTTTCAAAAATTCAAAAATCAATTCAAAGTTATAAAATTCAATTCAATTTGATTTTTCTCTTATTTGATTCAATTTCAATTTAAATATTAAATATTCCAATTCCATTTAGATTTTGTTTTTGAATCATGAAATATAAAAAAATTTAGAAAATATCTAAACTGAATCAATTTATATTTTTCTTAGTTTTTATAGAAATTTTAATTTTTTAAATACAAATAATTATTTTATATTTAATTTTATTTAAATATATTAAAAATAATATGAAAATAATAAAAATTAACAATAAATAATTTTTAAAAAACCAATATACTGAACTGACTGATTTGAATTCGAATTAACTTTTGAAAATTTATAATACTATGTATTGAATCGGATTCGATGAATTATCAACCCTACTTGAAAGTTGGGAAGCATCATCCCAGAAACTGCTTTTTCCCACCTACCAGTTTCCTTATCAGCAAACTTTTCTCTTGCCAAGGGATACAACAAAACTAACTCATCTTCCTATTGACATGTTCAGCTCCATGATAAGAGGTGAAGTATGAAACATCCTGCTACGTTTGTAAGGCCGAAACATGCTGTCATGTTGGCACCGTTATCACCTGTTAATTATAAACTCCTTAGCCAAAGTTCACCAAATTAAATTAAAGATCCAATGAAGTAATCTCATACTTTCCCCAACTTTGCCTGAAAAATGAGTTCCACTTCTTTGCGAAGGCCTTCCACATCTATAACATATTCTCTGTGATATTCCTCCAACATCAAATCCTCCAGCTGCTTCTTCATCCTCTCCAAAGCATCATCCAGTCTACAAAAGTCCTTGAAAACAGTAGCTTCAGTTGTTCTAAGTTGCAGGAGATTCTTAATTGCAACCAGCGCCTGTAAATATGTCCAATACCCACCATCCAATCAGTAGTTCCTCATGTATGCGGCCATTAAACATGAAAATGAGGCTAGAGAACTACCTTATCCTGGAGATCAAGGTCATTTGATGCAGTTAGATCAACCACAGACTTCAAGAATAAATGATTGCTGAAAAATGGCATCTCAGCTTTATCTATATTTTCTAACTGGCACTCAGCCAGATCACCAACCAGAAACACAGCCTTCCTGCGTAGCCTAGCATCCACGCTGGGGTTGCTCAATATGTCCTAAAGACAGAAATTATTGTCAATTGCAATTTGCAGGGATGGACAAAACAACAGCAAATGCTCAATTCTTTCTTACATCACCTGAAGCATCTTGTCTCCAGCTTCCACATAGAACAATTGCTGACCAGCCACATTATTCCGGATCAAGGCTGACACAGCATAAAATGCTTTAGTGGCTTCATCTGCGGAACTAGAATTCACCATTTCCATTAGTTTTGCCAATGCCCCAAGTTCCAGGACCTAAGACACGTAAATTTTTGCAAGTTAGTTGATGTTGAATATACCTTGCTCAAATGCCCAAGGGGAAGATGATGTACCTGCTTCTGAACATATGGATTATTTTGACTTGCTTTCCCAAGTATCCATGCAGAAATTTTCCTTATATCTGGGTCAGGGTGATTAAGCTCCCGTATAATCACAGCAAGCCCACCAAGTTTACAAAAATCTGACAGGCAAAAACTTAACAATGTGAGCCACATCTCTTTAGGCGTAAAAGATAGTTGTAGATCAAGTAGGGGAATTAGAGAAATATAGAAACCTAGAGGAAAAATTGGAGATTGGCGGAAGAAATTAGGAGGAAATCAGGAGTGAAATAGAAGAAATAGGGGGAACAAAACCACAAAAAATGATAGAAGGAAAAAACAGAGTACTCAATTTCTCAAAATCTCATATATTCATCATCCAAAAGTTACTCAAAAGAAAAAAAAAAGCATCTGTATTTATAGCTAAACCAAAAACCCTAATAAAATGCAAAATACGAAATATAACCCTACAACACTAATACTTTGAAAAGAAGTAAAATACAAACTAATATAAAATAAACTAAATAATCTAAAATAGCTTGAACATATGTAAAGATTACAATCAAACCTGTAAGATGTAAGATAAATTCCTAGAAAACTAAACCCCTTACTAGCATATTTTCATTCTCCCCTAGTTGGGAGGAACTCAACCTCAAGTTTTAAAAATTCAAGCAGAAGAAATTTCCAGCAAGATCCATGAATGGGAGTGTCAAATAACTTCACGTGGCACAAACATTTTCTACAAAGGAACTTGCACCTCAATTTTTAGCATATTTAGACTAAAGTCAATGGAAGAATTATTATCAACAACAATGCGCTTAATCACAATAATCAGAAAAATATAAAGCCAGCGGAAGGATTATCATTGATACCACTCACTAAATTCCTTATTTGGTTGGACCAAAAACTCAATTTGTGAGCATTCAAGCTCAACCTCTATGCTCTAAACCTTTTCAATTTCAAAATTATGTTGTACTTCAATTTCTTCAAGTGGTTGATGATGTTGCACTTGTTGATCAAGGCCACTGACTCTACAATGGCAGTCTCGTCTTTGTCAAGGATGTCAACAACTGATTCTAGAATCGCATTCCCTTTTTTTTCCTCAATGATGTCAAAAAAGGGTTCTAAAATTGGTTCTTTAATTTCCTGAACCTCTTGAATCTCCTCTATGAAAACTTCACACTTTTTGATTAATACTCCCAGCTTCTAATTGATACTTTCCAGCAAATCACAAGAATAACATTTGGACCATGAAACCTTGTTCTCTTGCAACTCTTGCTCAAAAAAAGATTTCCATTCTTCCAACAGTTTTTCCCTATGGCATATATATTTTCTTGAGAAAAAGATACTCATAAAATTCTCAAGAGGAAAGATTCTGAACACCATATCTTTCTCTCAAATAAAGTAAGCCATCCAATTGTAAATAGAAATTATGAAGGTCATTTTCTAACTATTGAATATGTTCCAAAGTGATTATTGCTTCCCTAAAACAAAAGATTTCATAAACCGGCCATGAAAAACCTGACCTTTAAAGGCTAAATCTCATAAAATGGACCTCAATAATGGTTTCAGAAAGCTAAAATAAGCAAGGACAAATAAAAAGATTGCTGACATGGCACTGACTTCCAGACGCTAACATGGCAACTGACAAGTCAGATATCATCAGTAAACTAGGATGGCAGTCAAAGCGTGGGCACGGAAGCAGGCTAGCCACAACCCAACCAAATTCATTGGGGCAAGTGCAGCGACTACTAATAACAATATTTCACAGGCAAAACAATCTAACACTGGTGATTCGATCTATGGTGGTGATGTCCTTTTCTGACGGCTGGATAAATGCAAACTTGAGTTTGAATTCAGATACATTTTTTTCACTCCTCTTTTCTGAGGAACAGTGGGACTAACAAATCGGCTACCAGTTTTGAAGAACTAAAAGTTCAGTACTTAATTGATCATTATTTCAACCATATTACGGAGTTAAGTAAATTAGCTAGCAAGCATTCTTAGATTGTAGAAGATGAACTGAAAAGAACTGAACCAAAAAACTATGCTAAAGCTACCCATGTTCTAAATAATCAAGGGGACCTTCTGTGAATCCGAGGAGATTGATGCAAGAGCATTCCACAATTTATCTCAATCAATTATCTAGTTCCCATGTTTATTATTTTACTCTAGTTAATGACTCGTAGTTATCTTTTTATTCTATCAAGTGGTAATGTGACAAGCTTAAAGAGTTTGAATGGCTAGGTTAGATGAGGCTTATGTGTATCCATGGGCTCAGACTAAAAGTAGTTGTAGCCCTAGTATAAATAGTTTTTAGAGACATTAGGCTGCCATATTATAGTGGACTATTATCTATTAGTGGTTTTACAACTCTAAAACCTAGATTTCTTGTTCCAACTTCAATTTACATCAATTTGCTGTTATTCTGGTCTCGATCATTATTTGTGTTTTTTCAACTATTTCTACTACCATAGTACATCAAAATTTCAAAAGGAAAGACCAAACAAATTAAAAACTAATGTAGTAAAATTAGATAAAGCTCAATAATTTTACAGTATTAGCCACAATAAGCCCACATTGCAATTCTTGTGAGAATATTGTAAATGTTAGAGACATGATCTTCGAGAAAAGGGTGAAATCTTACTGACAAAAGTTCGAATAATGAAAATTTCAAGTTAAATTAACAGCAACAAAGTAAAGAGATGAAGGCAAACAACAGTCATAAGAAGATAAAATCTATATCTTTAACCTTGTAAAATTTGAACGCAAATAGATACTCATGGCAATAATTCATATGTTCAGAGATAAACCGATATTATGGAAATAATTTGGAAAGGAAAGGATAGATTTCAATTGTTCAAGTTGAGTTAATCCAGCTATGGGCAAAACCACCACTTACCATTTGCATTATCTATTGGCTCAACAAGTATCAAAAGTTCTTGCAAAGCATGGTGGCGATCTTCTATAGACAAAGATGAATTATTCAAGTCATCTAGTGCAATTTGCATCAACTGTGCATCTGATGGCATTTTTAACTTTTCCACAAGTTCCTGTGCAACAATAATGCAGGGGTCACTATGTCAGATATCACAAAGAAGCAAAATAGATGTATAAACTGCAAGCAGCTGCAATGAAACAAGGTAGAAGGTGCCCAAAAGGATAAAGCTATTGCTGGTTTTAAGAAAGTAATACATTGTCATGCCTTGCACATAGCAAATTGTGCCATTAACACATGATTTTAAGAAAGTAGAAATTGTGAAGTACTAAGAAGTAAAACTTTTAATTTTTTCAAACTTATAAGTGATTAGGTAATAATAAAATTAGGAATCTTGTGAGTTTGGAACAGATAAAAATCCAATTTTTGGGTGGATTCATATGTAACTTAGAAACCAGTTGAACATTAACTCAATTTATATATATATATATATATATATATATATTTGGGAAATAAAGATTATGAAACAACTATTTAGACATAAAATAAAAATTGATGTAGTTTAATATCCAAAATATGTTTTCACGTATAGAAATCTTATTATAGATTATAAATAGATCATCCATATAAATGGCAGATGTGATAACATCAGGCAAGAATAGCAGATGAACTCATTTTGTAGTACAACTTAAAAGACATTTTTGACTCAGCTGATTCCTTTCAAACCATAAAAAGTTAGTTATGTCAATAAAATTAGCATCACAGTAAGTCAAATAATTAGCAAAAGGGTAGTAAAACTAGAAAATAAAACAAAAAAAAAAACCTTTATTTCCAACTGTCGCTGGTTGAGCTCCGAGGGAGAGAGACGTTGAACATCTTGCGCGGTTTCCTTTAGTTTAGCCGAATCAGAATGACCTGATTCATTGTCGAATAGAATAAGATCCGAAAAACAATTTTTTCTTTAATAGACAAAGTGTTAGAGATATGGAAGCCACTCATCAAACCTATGGCCCACTGCAACATCCCATCGAGAGAAGAAAATCCACCGTCAGCGTTATCGACGGCGGCGGTGGAATCATCAGCAGGTCCAGCCTTGTGCACCAGATCCCCTTCCTCTTTGGCCGTTGACCAAAACAGTCCTGCAGAAGATGACTTATTTTCTTGCTCAGCCGAAGTCCTTGCCATCTCTATCACCATCACCATCACCAATAATGATATTAAAGCCGGAATCCGCTCCATATCAATCTTAAACCTAATTTCGCGACTACAGAAAATTTGATTTGTCAAGTTACTTACAATCTACTCTCCCTTCTCCTATGGCTGAGCTTAAAGTTTATTTTATTTTACTATTACTTTTTTTTTCTTTCATTTTTAAGAAGAAAACGCTGTCGAGAAGGCCCTTCGTTTCTTTTGTTATGTAAAAAAAAAATTAAAAGAAAATTAAAAAAAAAAAAAAAGTGAGTGGTAGAGTTGTACACTAATACGGCCGGTGGGCACAACTTTTAATGGCCCGTAAAATCATAACATAAATTTTAATAAATTTTAGTCATGCACAGTGACAAAAATTTATTTCATACTACCATCTATCTCGCGCAACGCTGCAGGATCAGAAATATTGATATTTAAAATTTTTGTAATATATACCAAATGTGTTAAGAATGTAAGTTGATTTATATTTTTTTAATAATTATATGATTTTTTATAATTTATCTATACTAATATTATAAGTTGTAGAATATATATATATATAAATTTTTAGTTTGAAGTTAAGATAAATAGAATAGCAAACATGAATTAGGCTCGACATATTTAAAAGTAAATTATTATAGAACTTCTTAAATTATTTGTCAATTGTTTAATAAATTTGGTAAGTCGTGTATCCTCATTATGTGTTTCAACACTTAAAATCTTTGTTGTAAGACATAGAAGTGTCTTTTAGTATTTTTCCTTACTATAACAAAAATATTTGTTAAAAAAATAAACCTTAAAATTATATGACAATCAATTATAATGAAATTTTATACAAAAAACTCATAACCAACGACAACAACCATTTATCTTTCTAATAACAAAATCAATTTAACAAATTTTATTTTTTGAGATTGAGTCTCAATCAATTAAAATGAATTATAACTGCATTAACAATAAGTCATTCTATAATTTTTATATTTGAAGCATTCAGAAACTCAATACGCTAAAATTTTTATCTTTTCATGAAAGATCCAAAACCATTTACATGATATTAATAATTACCCTTAAGCAACAAAAAAAAATTAATAGAAAAAATACAAAAATAACACATATTTGAAAATGAGGAATAACCGGATATACTTGAAAATTTTGCTTTGAAGGTCATAAAAAATGTAGAAAAGAATAGTCCAACTATACATCAAATTAAAAAAAAAAAAAAAGAACAAAAATAATTAATGGAAAAATATAGAATGTCATTTTACCAAACTCAATCAATAAAAATTCTTCTTACTATCCAAACAATAATGAGTTTTAATAACTAATAATACTAAGAATGGTAGTGAAAAAAAAAATCATAACCTTTTTTAACATTTGAGTAAGTTTAATATATCAAATTTAAGTTATCTACATACCTAAATGAGCAAATAACTTAGTTTAAAAATTTTAAGGCAAAAGAAATACTTAAAAGCCTAAAATCATAAAATTTTTCGACAAACCAAACAAGTGAGATTTATTCTAACATTTGAGCAACATTAATATCACAATCCTAAGCTATCCATATGCCTAAATGAGGAACAACTACACATGCTTGAGAATTTACATTTGAAAGTCATGAAAAGTTTTTTTAAAAAAAGGGTTAAAATTGTTGGGAATAATGACTCAAATCTCATAAGAGATTTGTTTGAGATTTGTTAGAGATTTGTTAGATATTGTTTGATAGACAAGAAGACTTGAAAAAGAAGAATTCTAAGAGAAAGAGGATTCTTAATAGGTAAGTTTGACTTGCAAGAGAAGAATTCTAAAAGGAAAGGGATTCTTAATAGGCAAGTTTGACTTACAAGAGAAGAATTCTAAGAGAAGAATTCTAAGAGAGATTCTTAATGGGCAAGTTTATATGGTTATAAATATGTGAAGTCTCTACATGGTTAGGTATGAGAAAAAGATGTAAGAAAGTTGTAGGGTTTTGTGAGATAAACACCTCATATGAGTATTCAGGCTCTACGTCTTATGGGTGTGTATGTTTGTTTGTGAGTGGACTAGATGAGACTGAGAGGGTCCACATAGGTATGATGTATGGGAGCATATGGGTATGTGTTTGGTTATGTTGAAAGAGTGCACAAGGGTTTGGGTTTGTATTTGTTTGGGTTGAGAATACTCTATAGGACTAGAGGAGATTGAAAGTGTCTTATGAGTATTGATTGTTGAGTAAGGTTGATGATTTGATGTATGTTTGTAATTCTCTACAACTAGTGTATCTTTTTTCTCATCCGTGGATGTAGGTCAGTTAAATCGAATCACGTTAAATTGTTGTCTCTTATGTGTTTGATTTATTATTTGATTTCGCTTTCGCTGGTATGATTGGATTGGAGGTTTTTAGCCCAACAAATGGTATCAGAGCTATGGTGTTCCTCAACAAATGGTATCAAAGTTATGGGGTTCCCCAACAAGTAAAATCAGAGCTAAAAGTTTGAAACGTGGGAAGAGTCAAATGTTCAAGATGTGAGAAGAGTCGATGGTTCGAGATATGAGAAGAGTTGACAGTTCGAGATATAGGAAGAGCTTGGTTTAAGACATGGGAAGAAGTAAGCTTAGAGAAACTCGATTCAAGAGAAAAGTTCGAATTCAAGTTTTGAGGATTGAAGATCAGTTTGTATGAAGTGTAAAGATACAAGAGAAGAGAAGACTTTCATTGCAGGTGGAGTCAAACATGTCTAGCATGAAAACAGATGATTGATGAAATTTGAGTCAATGTGAGATTGTTGGGAATAATGACTCAAATCTCATAAGAGATTTGTTTGGGATTTGTTAGAGATTTGTTAGATATTGCTTGATGGACAAAAAGACTTGTAAAAGAAAATTTCTAAGAAAAAGAAGATTTTTAATAGATAAGTTTGACTTGTAAGAGAAGAATTCTAAAAGAAAAAAAATTTTTAATAGGCAAGTTTCACTTACAGAAGAAGAATTTTAAGAGAAGAAGGATTTTTAATGGGCAAGTTTATATGGTTATAAATATGTGAAGTCTCTACAGGGTTAGGTATAAGAAAAAGATGTAAGAGAATTGTAAGATTTTGTAGGATAGACACCCCATAAGAGTATTGAGGTTCTACGTTTTATGAGTGTGTATGTTTGTTTGTGAGTGGACTAGAGGAGACTGAGAGGGTCCACATAGGTATGATGTATGGAAGCATATGAGTATGTTTTTGGTTATATTGAAAGAGTGCACAAGGGTTTAGGTTTGTATTTGTTTGGATTGAGAATACTTCATAAGACTTAGAAAAGATTGAGAGTGTCTTATGAGTATTGATTGTTAAGTGAGGTTGATGATTTGATGTATGTTTGTAATTCTTTACAATTAGTGGATCTTTTTTCTCATCCGTGGATGTAAGTCAGTTGGATCGAACCAAATTAAATTGTTATCTCTTATGTGTTTAATTTATTGTTTGATTTCACTTCTGTTGATATAATTGGATTGGAGACTTTTAGCCCAATAAATGGTATCAGAGCTGTGGTGTTTCTCAATAAATGGTATCAAAGCTGCGGTATTCCTCAATAAATGGTATCAGAGCTGTGGTATTTCCCAATAAGTAGTATCAGAGCTAAAAGTTTGAAATGTGGGAAGAGTCAAATGTTCAAGATGTGAGAAAAGTCGATGGTTCGAGATATGAGAATAGTTGACAGTTCGAGATATAAGAAGAGCTTGGTTTAAGACATGAGAAGAAGTAAGCTTAGAAAAACTCGATTCAAGAGAAAAAGTTCGAGTTCAAGTTTTGAAGATTAAAGATCAGTTTGTATGAAGCGTGAAGATACAAGAGAAGAGAATACTTTCATTACAGGTGGAGTCAAACATGTCTAGCATGAAAACAGATGATTGATGGAATTTGAGTCAAGGTGGAGATTATTGGGAATAATGACTCAAATCCCATAAGAGATTTGTTTGAGATTTGTTAGAGATTTGTTGATATTATTTGATGGACAAAAAGACTTGTAAAAAAAGAATTCTAAGAGAAAGAGGATTCTTAATAGGTAAATTTGACATGCAAGAGAAGAATTCTAAAAGGAAAAGGATTCTTAATAGGCAAGTTTGACTTACAGGAGAAGAATGCTTAGAGAAGAAGGATTCTTAATGGGTAAGTTTATATGGTTATAAATATGTGAAATCTCTACAGGGTTAAGTATGAGAAAAAGATGTAAGAAAGTTGTAGGGTTTTGTGAGATAGACACCTCATAGGAGTATTCAGGCTCTACGTCTTATGAGTGTGTATGTTTGTTTGTGAGTGGACTAGAGGAGACTGAAAGGGTCCACATAGGTATGATGTATGGGAGCATATGGGTATGTGTTTGGTTATGTTGAAAGAGTGCACAAGGGTTTGGGTTTGTATTTGTTTGGGTTGAGAATACTCTATAGGACTAGAGGAGATTGAAAGTGTCTTATGAGTATTGATTGTTGAGTAAGGTTGATGATTTGATGTATGTTTGTAATTCTCTACAACTAGTGTATCTTTTTTCTCATCCGTGGATGTAGGTCAGTTAAATCGAATCACGTTAAATTGTTGTCTCTTATGTGTTTGATTTATTATTTGATTTCGCTTTCGCTGGTATGATTGGATTGGAGGTTTTTAGCCCAACAAATGGTATCAGAGCTATGGTGTTCCTCAACAAATGGTATCAAAGTTATGGGGTTCCCCAACAAGTAAAATCAGAGCTAAAAGTTTGAAACGTGGGAAGAGTCAAATGTTCAAGATGTGAGAAGAGTCGATGGTTCGAGATATGAGAAGAGTTGACAGTTCGAGATATAGGAAGAGCTTGGTTTAAGACATGGGAAGAAGTAAGCTTAGAGAAACTCGATTCAAGAGAAAAGTTCGAATTCAAGTTTTGAGGATTGAAGATCAGTTTGTATGAAGTGTAAAGATACAAGAGAAGAGAAGACTTTCATTGCAGGTGGAGTCAAACATGTCTAGCATGAAAACAGATGATTGATGAAATTTGAGTCAATGTGAGATTGTTGGGAATAATGACTCAAATCTCATAAGAGATTTGTTTGGGATTTGTTAGAGATTTGTTAGATATTGCTTGATGGACAAGAAGACTTGTAAAAGAAAATTTCTAAGAAAAAGAAGATTTTTAATAGATAAGTTTGACTTGTAAGAGAAGAATTCTAAAAGAAAAAAAATTTTTAATAGGCAAGTTTCACTTACAGAAGAAGAATTTTAAGAGAAGAAGGATTTTTAATGG